CACCCCGGGACTTTTAATGACCAGGGAGAGTCAGGACCTCGGTTTAACGTCTCATCTGAAGAATGGTGCCTTTTCTAATAGTATAGTGTCCCCGTCACTATACTGGGGCACTGGGACCCACACAGACCACAGGGTGAGCACCCCCTTCTCTCTAACACCTCTTCCAGCAGCAGCTTTAGTTTTTCCCTGGAGGTTTCCCATGCTGGTACTGACCAGGCTTTTTTAAAGTTTTGTAGCAGTTACATTTAAATCTTTTTATTACTTATATATCAAGACAAAATGCTAAGTAACGCAATATAGTTTAGCAAGACTAAAAGCATATTTGAAACATCAACTCCAGAAATTATTTTGTTAAAACAATTAAGTTTTAAAACATTCTCCACACACGTAGTGCTCAATTAGAAGCAACTCCTACTGGCTCCTGTCCGCGTACCAGATGGAAAGACAAACAGTTACAGTGGGAACGCTTACCGTCCAGTCCCAGCTCCCTCAAGGCGCGGTACCCCCCGGGCTGCAGCAGCTCCCCGACAATCCTGTCCGGCTCCCGCAGGTCCCTCTCGATCACCGTCACCCGCCTGCCGTCCCTGGCGAGCACCGCCGCCAAGGCCGAGCCCAGCACCCCGGCCCCGACAACCACGACGTCCGGGTCCCGAGAGTCGGCGGCCGAGCCGCACTCGCTGTCCGGCCAGGTGGAGTCCGCGGGTCCGACGTGCCGCCGCCTCCTCCTCCCCTCTCCGGGACGCGCCCTCTGCTGGATTGATTGGCCGGACAGTTAAGGGGCGTCAGTGGAAAATAAGACCGGAGAAGCGTCTCAACAACGAAGAAAATAACACTTTTCCATCTTTCATTATCGACTTTTTCATTATCGCAGCTCCCCTGTATCGGCCATAAAGATGTGATTTTGCCTTTTTATACTGGCAAGCACATTTAACGTCACCCCAACCGTCATTTCAGCGTGGGGAAAAGTAGAAAAACCCAAGCCGAAGTCTGACAACTTGACAGAGGATTTCGAGCTGACCACGAATGCCTGACTATTGCTTACACACGCCTAAAGAAAATAAGAAAATATTTTAAAGAGAGATATTTGGCAACGCGTTTCTAATTTCAGCTTGCGCCTGGGCGACCTCATTAAAATCATTAACACCTCGAGAACGGACGGTTCGTGCTAAATGCAAAAGAGCTGAAATACTGTCGTATCGTGAGTAAATGGTATTAAAATGGTAATCAAATTTCCACGAAACCCCTGTGAAAGACGCTGTAGGACGCGAACATCGGAGAAGCCGAGCCGAGCTGTTTTTTTTTTTTAAATAACGCTTTTTTACTTATTATCCACCGTCACAGTCTTGGTCCTGCACTGAAGCTTAATTATTTTCTCGATATATGTGTATATCGATAGATTTCTCATATGTTATGTGAGCCGGCAGAAACCAGGTTTCTATTCTAAAGGCATCCTGAGATCTCCCAACTGTGCCAGAGCGGAAAACGATTGGAAAAAGCTCAATGATTCAATTCAGTCGAGATGTAATTAAAGCAGGACAAGGGGGTTCCTGGGGGAGAGCATCCCTGCTCGAGAAGAGGGGGACCCCCCCCACTCTGGAAGTGTGTGAAGTCTGGACACCGCAGGTCTTCACTGACAATGCCCCCCAAAAAAGTCCATCTTTTTAGAAACACGACGGACCGCATCTCGCATCACTGTGACCCTCCCTGGCCGGATCTGCTCCTGTCCGACCGGGAAACGTCTTTTGAAACTCGGAAAACCAGCGAACGGGAATCACAACGCGCGTTAAATACCCACCGCAAAGCAACCTGTTAACACAGCCGCGCGTCTGCTTTTCACAGCACCCGGCGGACGGAGGTACTGTATAGCTTGCCAGGACGGATGGAGATGCTCCCCCGACCGCAGACGGGTTTACCTTTTCGGCCCGGCTGCCGGAGTCCGTGTCCCGTCCGGAGAAGAAGCGGGCCAGCGGCAGGGACGCCGGGATGTCCAGACCCAGGCTGGGCAGCGCCTGCCCGCTGCGGTACCTGGCGTAGGACAGCAGGGAGGCGAGCAAGCAGCAGCCCAGGAAGACCAGCGCGACCTCCTTGTTGGCATAGTGCAGGACGGCGTCGCATTTCTTGTAAACGTAGGTGAAGCTGGCGATTCCCAGGAACGTCCACATCGCTCGTCAATCAAGGGATCGACAACTGAGCGACAACCAAAATAAACGTGCGCTCGGAATAAGTTTTTTTTTTTTGTCAAAAGTGGGGTTAAACGCGTCCCCGAGAGAAACGCATTGAAGGCGGTTATGCTTTCAAGGTTTCAAAGGCAAGGAGTCCGGCCTGGGCAACCGATACCGAAATCTGAAATGTTTGGGTTTTTTTTCCTTTTAGTGAACGAATCTGCTCGTCATCGCCGAACAGACGCCGGATCAGCTGTTATTTTGGATCCAGGACACCAATGTGAGAAGAAATGAAGCCACGGAAATAATGGTTAAGATATTGCTCAGCTGTCTTCTAAATAATAAAAATAATGTTGTTCTTATAATAATGATATTAAAGAAATAATCCGTCCCCAAATGTCCTCCGATATTCAGTATTTATATCATTAGTACTAAAAAAAAAACAGACTTGAATAACCCAGCTCTTAAATAAATTGTAGTTCTTTCCCGAAGACCTTCACAGACAACTGTGCAACTGTAACATGAAAAGTGAGTTTATATTTTTTTTCTGATGGTGACCAGAATAGTTGCAACCTAGCCGGCGTGTCACTCTCGTGGGATGCTGAATATTTTATGGTAATAAGGAGTCTATGCTAATGAGCCGCGTGCCCGGACCGCACTCTTCCCCGCCCCTTTCTTCATCGCAGTACCCAATCAGAGACCGCAGAGCGGTGAGCAGAGCTCACGCTATCTGGCCATTGGCCAATCCGGTCCTGCCGGTGGCCGAGCTGACAGTCAGGTCTGCTCTAGTCTGATGTGACGTCATGGGGCAGGTGGGCCCGCGTCAGACGCCAGTGTCGTCCCCCTGTGCAGTACAGGCTGATCTGTCAGCCAAGGAGGGCTGGAAACACGGTTACAGCATCACCTCGCTTCCTAGAACCTGCCTGACAAAGTGTTCCATCAAGAAACATGTTTTTATTTGTGTGTTTAATTTTCTTAATACACCAGTACCATTATGTACCCGAAAGGAATGTGCTGTGAACTATGCATTTAAAAGTATTCGTCAGGATATTTTCGTGGTGTGATAACGAGTTTATCATTCTGCCTTTATCAGATTCGTGTTCCTTGTGTATTTTGTACATACTTTTATTTATCTAGTCTCTCCGTGTGTGGATGGTTGCTATTGAATCATCTTTACTAGGATCAGAATATAATGCTTTTTTACAATATGTACTGCCTTACAACCGGTCCTGCAGTTAAGCCCAATTATTTTCTCAATTAAATATTCGTCGTGTTCTATGTCTGAAGTGAGATTTCAGGTTTCTCTATAAACATTGTACAGGTACTCTGAAACCTCCCACTGTTTCAGAACAGAAAAGAGTTTGAAAAGAACTAATTCATCAACGATCAATTCAGCAGAACTGTAACAAAAACAGGGCAAGGCATTCCTGAGGCAGCAGATTTCTGGGGACACCTGAAAAACGAAGGGAAACATTCCACCCCCAAGCCTGGAAGTGTGTCAAGTCACAAAGAAGGTCTTCACTGTCAATGTACTCAGTCGATCTGCTGACCCATAGTTCAGCTTCTTCTCTAATCTAATCACACTTTAATTTAGAATACCACACATTGATTTTCGATCTTAACTGGAGTCCTTGTGGAGAGAACCTGAGAGTTGTTCACAAAAGAGAGCATGCCATTTGTTAGTAGCTAATTGATCCCAGAATTGATCCCCATCCTGTCACTTCTTGAAACACATTCCACCAACCTTAAGTATTAAGATGTGCCTAGGACACAACACTGTATTCAAACAAGACGATCAGTACTTTTAACAGGTCCCCTCAGAGGGCTCTCAGTTCAAGAGAAGTTCTAGTGCACTGTACAATTTTAACCTAACATCCCTTGATGCTTCTCAACACTGTTTGCCTCTATTGTTTCTCCACATTTAACACTGGTTTCCTTCTCGAATGGTGGAGAGAAAAGCATTAGTAAAAAGTAGAACATGCTCCCGCATAATGAATCAACATCAACATCACCTTTAATAATCTAACTACAGTATTCACTAAATGTTGAATAATTAAAGCAGACTATATGAAATTACAGGCAAATGCCAATGGATTAATTAACACATCTCGAATCTAATGTGGTTAATTTAATAAGAGCCCTGGGCATAAACACCTGACCCCATTATTCCCCACAACACAGAAAACCCTGACTAAAAAGTAAATATATTTAATTATACAATTTTAGTTTTTTGTTAAAGATCAGTGAGCATATAGTTCATATTTCCATGTGTATCTAGGGACACTTATAATGCATATAAAGCTTTATGTATAAATAGTTTATAACTGCTATTATGCAAAAAAGGTAATTAAATAAATTATGTAGCTCTACATGCCAGCTAATGGGGTCACAGCTTTATTTGCAGGCACTGAATCAAAATAGATTTTCAAATATATAAGACAGGCTTGTCTTTACAAGTAATGGTTAAAAATTGATTCGTATTTTTCTTGTTTCCCTGACGTGGTCTTTGGTTCTCCGTTTTGCTTGATAAACTCCTATAAACAGAAAAGAAAACTTGAAAAATGAAAAAAAACATACTGGTTTTTAAAAAAATAATATTTTTAGAATGCTACTGATTTGTGAATCATGCCTATCAACACAAGAAAAGAGAAATAAAAGAGGAAAGAGCTAATATCCTGATGTGATCAAGAAGGTAAAAGTGAGTTTGCATTTTCTTGTAGGACGTGTGGGTATTTTTTCAAGAAAATCATCTGAGAGGCATACGTTCTTTACAGCACTACATGTTAGTGTTAATTAATACCACTCTGAGAGTGCAGCAATTAGAAGGGCAGTAAACATTTTAAACTTGTAACTCTAGACATTGGTATTGTAGCACTGGACAGAGGAGAAAAACTGCCCATTTCAGCCTTAGAATACTGCATTTTGTGTTAAAAAAAACTGTTTTTAAAAGTATACTTTAGCTTGCTTAGAGCTAGGTTTTTGAGTTGGACATTATATCTGGTGATGAAGTAAGAGGTTTTTGTTCTATGTTACTGAAAGTTTAATTTAAGGATAACTGATAAAGTTGACTGGGATTCATTTATGATAATTTCT